TGCGTATCTCCCACCATGTACGTCGCCAACCTTGCGTATCTCCCACCATGTACGTCGTCAAGCTTGCGTATCTCCCACCATGTACGTCGCCAATCTTGCGTATCTCCCACCATGTACGTCGTCAAGCTTGCGTATCTCCCACCATGTACGTCGCCAACCTTGCGTATCTCCAAACATGTACGTCGTCAACCTTGCGTATCTCCCACCATGTACGTCGTCAACCTTGCGTATCTCCCACCATGTACGTCGTCAAGCTTGCGTAGCTCCCACCATGTACGTCGTCAAGCTTGCGTATCTCCCACCATGTACGTCGTCAAGCTTGCGTATCTCCCACCATGTACGTCGCCAACCTTGCGTATCTCCCACCATGTACGTCGTCAAGCTTGCGTATCTCCCACCATGTACGTCGTCAAGCTTGCGTATCTCCGACCATGTACGTCGTCAAGCTTGCGTATCTCCCACCATGTACGTCGTCAACCTTGCGTTTCTCCCACCATGAACGGCGTCAACCTTGCGTATCTCCCACCATGTACGTCGCCAACCTTGCGTATCTCCCACCATGTACGTCGTCAAGCTTGCGTATCTCCCACCATGTACGTCGTCAAGCTTGCGTATCTCCGACCATGTACGGCGTCAAGCTTGCGTATCTCCCACCATGTACGTCGTCAACCTTGCGTTTCTCCCACCATGAACGGCGTCAACCTCGCGTATCTCCCACCATGTACGTCGTCAAGCTTTGCGTATCTCCCACCATGTACGTCGTCAACCTTGCGTATCTCCCACCATGTACGTCGTCAAGCTTTGCGTATCTCCCACCATGTACGTCGTCAAGCTTGCGTATCTCCCACCATGTACGTCGCCAACCTTGCGTATCTCCCACCATGTACGTCTTCCTCTGTGCGCATCTTCCACCTCTACATCTTCAGTGCGTGTATTCCACCCTTGCGTTATCTCCCACAATATACGTCTTCAGCCATGTGTGTCTCCGTCCAGCATTTACGTGTTCCACCTTTCCACGCACCTATTCTTCACTCACACTGGCGTAACCATAGATATAAGTCTTTGTTAAAGATATCCCAACAGTATATATAAGCGGTCAATTACACCGCGACACCGTGACCGAATTAACTATCCACAGTTAGGGCGAGACCCCTTGACAGCAGGGCCCAACTGCAGAATTATAATCTTCACTCACTGGCCGTGAAATGAACCTACATGTCAATGTCAGTTCATCCCACAATGTCGTCCTATGTGGCTGTGTAATACGTTGACCATTAAACGTGTTTGGTCACATCTATGCGCTTACACGGTTCATGAACACAGAGTAGAGTACACGCAGATAAAACAATGTTTGAATAAGTTGTGCCCCAGGATAATTTACTTCTAATCCATATGTGTTTGGGTCTGTTAGCAAGGCGGTTACTTTTATTGACAGCCGTGAGGGAATCGTCTTGAAATGTGTTATAACAGGTCAGGGGTGGGTCAGTTCATTATGTGGTCAGATAGCTTGCATCTAATCCGGGCGAATTTATACTTTAGATGACCACCCATTGCTATCACAAGCGAAGTTAATTCTTTCGGTCAAATGTAGTTAGGCCAGGTTTGATTACAATTCTTGCGTTCGATTTGAAAACACTGGACGTCCCATGTGACTCCGTGTTGCCCAAGGTATAACCCAAGTCAACCTTAATTTTACGTCATACCCCGGTTGACCTAGGTTGCCCATACCTACTGAATCCCTTGGATGCGGTGCTCTGGTTAGCAGCCTCCTAGTGACGCCATCGGTAAAGAAAATCAGTTTCATTTATTTATTCAATCATGAATGAAAGCAGTGTAGTGAATATAACGAACTAGGTGTTGACAGTATATAAGTATGCTGATGTACGTCAGGAATATTTAACTTTCTACAGTTGATATCAATACTTTAGAATTAGTAATGCAACTTTGATGATGATTTTGAACGTCGTTCGATGTTATACGCGTAGGTTTTTAGATTGTTTTTGTTTTATATGCATTAAAGAGAAAAGGTATTATGCCAGCTTTACCAAGCAATGAAACACGTGATTACTTCTTTTCTTGTATGTTGTAACACATGGTTGTTGTGTTTCCCCTTCTCAAGCACGATCTAAGGTTGCATTGTGTGCGTTTTATCTCGGATGCTGTCCTCAGTTATCCTTGATTAACACTGGTTAACACAGGTTGAATGTAGTCACCTGGTTGCCAGAAATGTGGTAATCTCAGTTATTTCACGTTTATAATTTAATAATAGAACGCACCTGGTAACGTTGTCAGTAAGTTCAGTCATCACGGACTTTGACTTTCTACTTATTTTGAGCTCGTGTTTAGTGTTCGACTGCATCAACCAGTACACGTTTATTATATTTGGGTATCCTAAAAAGGAACTGCATCTTATGATTTATAATTTAGCAAAACAAAAGCTGAAAAAAGTGAGTGAGTGAGTATGGTTTTACGCCGCTTTTAGTAATATTCCAGCAATGTCACGGCGGGGGACTCCAGAAATGAGCTTCACACATTGTACCCATGTCGGGAATCGAACTCGGGTCTTCGGCGTGACTAGCGAACGCTTTAACCACTAGGCTATCCCACTGCCCCAGATAGATGAAGAGTAAGTGAGTGTGTGCGTGCGTGAGTTAGTGCTGCGTGCGTCCGTGGTTGTGTTAGTGCGTACTTGAGTAAGTGCATGGGCGGGTGAGTGAGTGAATGCGTGCATGAGTGAGTGCATGCGTGAGTGGGCGAGTGAGTGAGTGAGTGAGTGTGTAAGAGAGAGTGAGTGAGTGAGTGAGTGAGTGAGGTTCTCAATATGTCAACAAACTTGCAATCAGTACACAGGGCCACAGCCTGGGAGCATGCACCACGTGATTACCCACTACGATAACAATAATGACAATTACTGCCATTTCATATTTTATTAAGAGCGGTGATATAACACATACCAGTTATCAATTTAGTTCGGATAAAGGCCTGGGCTGCTCTCTAACAGATTCATTATCACGGCCCGTGCCTCGCTCCTGACCCCGAGAGTTCAGCATCCTGTCAACACAACCAGATGCAGTCCCCTGTCCCGCTGTTCCCCGCCAGGGGGCGCTGTTGTTTCCTCATTACAACACTGGTTTTATTGGTCATTGAGTTCCTTGAATGAGGATGCGCAAGTCGAAGTTAACTTGAATTTGTTTCTAAATTAAAGCATTATTTTTTATATCTTCTCTTTGCATGTTTTAATAGGGATGAAACATATAAAAATATGCTTATCTCTCTCATGCATAAGGGATTGTGATGGAAACGTATAAGTCAACGCAATTAAATAAACAGCTTACTTTATACTGAACATATTGTCTATTTCATATCTTAGGTACTTTGAATTTGAATTTAATTTCATAGTCTGTTATAACCGTACATATTTAATTGACAGCGCATTTAGTGCAAGGGGGGTGGGGGGGGGGGGGGGGGGGTATCTAAAGACAGGAGAGCCAAATTATTACTTTAAATAACCACAACAACTCTTAATGTGGCCGAATGGATAAACATAGAGCGTCAACGCCGGAGAATAAACAGAATATTATCCGCCGTGACATATTCCAGTGGGGGGCAAAAGGCCAATTAATGGTGAAAAATATATGAATGGTTCACGCCAGGTGTTCGCGGAGAGGGTAAGCACCAGCCTGTGGGTAGGACCCGCCACTCAAACAATTTTCATGAAAAGTAAGTGTTTAATATTAACACATTAATTTTGCGGTCTGTTAAATATGATCATCCATTTGATATACACATTTATATATTGCAGCATTTCGTTGTTCGTTGTATATACCATCGACGTTTATAGATATTCATGGGAGTAATACGTCTGAGCTCGTACGTTTGTCTCAATGTGCGTGCATGCGCGTTTAATATTGCCAGAAAAATCATTACAGATGAAAAGGGAGGGCGAAAGTTTGCCTTTCCTAATGACACTAAATAAAGCAGGTAAGTAGCCTATTTCTAACACAAGCCATAACGAACCCGCCTCACCAGGGGGCGCTTAATTTGCCACACGTCTTGGACACGCGTAATTTGACTTGTGTCTAATACTGCCCATATGCTGCAGACTTGGCCTTGAAGGGTGCTAACTAGTTGTCAGTCTTTCTCCCTGACCCTAGTGAATGAAATTGAAAAAGGAGTCCAACTCAAGTCGAGAAAGTTTTGGCAAATTAAGGATTGTGCTGGGCTCAATTTGGATTTTTTATTTTTTTTATATTTTAGTAGTTATATATTTCTTTATATATATAATAAGATAACTTTATTTCTGGGACTAACTGCCAGTCTAACTATTCATCGGTCACTTGAAGCACTACTATAAGTTAATATACTAACTACCATCATGTCTCATCTTTCTAATAATGATCAATAAATATTCGTTACGACTTTCCTGTTTATTGAACTTGATGATAAGAATATTACGAACAGAGTGCGTGTGTTGATTGGTGCAGTCTTACTATTGTGCACAAGGTCCAATTTTAAATGAAGTTAAAATAAAAAATATTGCGTTATTACGTATATTTTCAAAACCCGTCATTTTCAAAACGACAAGTTTGCATATGAGCAGAAGTTAGAGTTTAATGGTTATTGCATTGACAAACGGTATCTCAAATCTAGTATTGATAATTTATATAGGTTTTACCCGCAATTTAAAATATGCATATAAATATATTTCGCTTTGTCATTACGACCATAGAAAACATGGTGAATTTTTCAAACGGAATGGAAATAATTCGTTGTAAATATGTACCGAAGGGCTATCTTTGGGACAGAAATTTACAAACAGCCAGTTTTGACCAGCAGTGACCAGTAGGACGTTATTTCTGGCTTCGGCGACCTTGGACCTGTGCGTACTCACTGGAAACAGTCCACCACTTGTTTAGCTACAAAGTATTTAGGCCCATGACGGTTACCTCCCTTTTAATGACTGTATAGACGCACAGGCTTCCATGCTAATTTAGGCTGATGAAGGGTTATGGCCTAGGTGAGTGACTGAGCTTGTACATCTACGTTCCTTCTGACCTAGCCTGACCTCTTTATCAAAAGTGTGTGTCCAACTGGGTCACATGTGTTCTGAATGACACAGTTCGATCATACCTGACCTGATTAGATGAGCAAAGGTAATAAGGCATACTGCGTAGTTTGTATGACATGTAAAACGAAAATCTCACAACAATAATAATGATTTTATTAGATTAATACGCTCGCATGAGTTTTCTCGAATACCATATAGCATTCGACTGCTTTGTAATTACAACACTCGAATTTTAAAAGAATTATTAATAAGATTACTTCATAAATAAAATTATAGTTTTACACTGAACGAAAAAAAAAGATTTTATAATTGTCATTTGACCTCAACCATGTAAAGCATCTTTCACACACTCAGGCCCTGAACAGATGTTTGGATGCACTGACGTGACTACAATACGGATGGGTTTAACAAAGAATCACGAGAATAGGGCGTGACTGTAACGAAGATACTAGTTCTGCATGCAGAGCAGTCATCTCCGAGAATACACCTGGCAGACGTATTTATAGGTCGATATGTTTGGTGTTAGAGAGTGTCTCGACATCGCTGGAGCATTAATTTTGAGTAATGCACACCTGTCCAAAGCGCACCGTGGTTTAATGTGTAGCCATCTATTCTGTGCGCTATTCCTTCATCTATTCGTCCTTTGATGGATGCTTTTTATGTATTTCATAAATACTCGAATAATAACTTGCTATATTATCTATCTATCATTCATATCGCTTTTCAGTCTATCGTTTATATATTATTCATAAACGATAAGCATTTTTATGCACGACAGAGACTTAAAATACGTTTAACGAAGCATGTATTTCTCATACTTGTGTCAATTATTCCGATCGGAAGTAAATATCACAAGAAGGATGTAATGGTCAAACTTTACTGATTTATCTTTTAATTTAACAAACGAAATATAAATGAAAACATATATCACGATTATTTATGAATCCTGCGCACAGAGCTTACAGGTTTATATGTATTGCTGGCGTCAGCACGGTGCACCCTCTCTGGGTTGTCTACAAGGGATCTGCAACACCGTCTGCAGCGTGAGAAGTCAGGTGTTATTGTCTAACAGAACTTTGCATTAATGCGCGCCATGCAAGAAACAAAACATGCATTCGTCAATCGATAGATACCCCATGATTTTAGACTTCGAGTTAATCACCTTAGCGTGCAGTAATATTATAGGTCAACCTTTGATATAGGTTTATCATTCAAATGTAAAATGATATGGTAATCAAATATTACAATATCGGTGTAATGGTAGATTTCATATAATGCCACTTCTTGCAATTATTAACTGTATATATTGCTTTGCATTGTAGACAATGCATAATTTATAAAAATAAAATTATGTTAATTTGACCTTTTGGGGTTAAAGTACTGAGCAAATGTTGAAAGGTGTGAACTGTGGCAGGAACACCATCTGTCGTGGTTGTTGCTATCTTTCTAGAAAACTTTGCTCGTTACAAACAAAGACTAAACACGCTAGCCTGCCTTAGTGTTGAACGACAAACGAGTCAGCTCTCAGCCAATCGGAGAGCTCGTTACATCGCGCCTCGCTCCCAGGTAGACTGGGCCCGACTGTAGCGCATAGGCTATTACAAGTCAGCTGTGAGGTTGTCGCGACGTGGAGTTTTCGTACCATAACTTTTCTCTTTGTTTCATTTGGAACAAACTGGACGATGACTTTGCCGGAACTAATGAAAGATTCGGAACTGCAAGCAAAACCGTAAGTGCAAATATATCTCTTTGCTTCCACGTTGTTCGTTATTAGCTCGTGGACCGAGCAACGCGGAGCAACAGACGTATAGACGGGGACAAAGAAGTATGCATTTTGTCCCGTGCAAATTTTGAATGCAAACTTTTATCCACTTTCAACATTCAAATATGTAACATATGAGCTTATCTAGGTATTCTGCAACGTTGATAAGGGCTGTGTAGAAATAATTTCATTCATGATGCCAATGCACACAGCTGTAGCCTACGGCTTATGCAAGAACGCTTACAGCATGTTGCGCTCTGTTACGTTGTTAGGAGGGCTGGGCTTTGATACAGCTAGTCACTTGCAGACGAATATTACCTGCTTATAATCTAACTTCTGCATCTTGGGTCTGGCAAACTAATGACCCTCAGGTCATGCAGGGCAGGTTCATTACGTAATTAGTTTTATATACGATGCAGAGCGGCGCGTTACTCTTGCAGCCTTAAATCTGCATCACTACTGCGCTATATCTGCGCGGTAGCTAACTCAAACACTGCCGCGAGTTATGTGGGGTAATTAATGATTTATTGCTCTCGTCGATCGACTGTCTTTATTCATTTATTTGGGGCTTAGATAATCAAAAGAAAGGCGTTTGTGCGTGAAGTTATTGTGTTGATGATCAATGTGATTGTCTTTGTTTTAATACGATTTAAAACCTGACGCAAGTTGTCAGATTTAGTCTCCAGGCAAATCACATGATATGTTTCGTCAGCCCATGGTGTGCGATCTTGTGCGGGTCACGTTGAGGGGTGAGAGGTCACAGGTCACGCTGCTTTCGCTATAATCTGTTGAATGTAGCCTTACTGATACGAGAGGGGATCTGTCGTCTCAAAATATACAACATCTTCTCTTTGACGATGCACACAAATCAATCGACCTGTATTCCTAGCGGGAATCTCTCAGCAATGGTGCTTGCAATGTGACGTCATATCACCAGTGGTAACGGGGATATCCCTTAGCGCTGTGTAAACAGTACAATAACACTTGATGAATCCAGCGAACTATTGAGCTCGCATTTGCCGTTAATCTCCTTCTGAGCCCAAACAGAGTTAATACCAAAACAGAGATTAATCCCCAAAACACTTTACAGCACCGTGAAGAAAACTTTGCAACGATGATTTGGTAAGGCTTGATATATTATGTTGAAACAGTGGCATGATTCACGACAACGAATCCTTGTTTAGTGATGATTCATGACTGAATTCATACATATCGGCACATAGCCACAGCAACTGTACCCGTCAATAGCAATGTTTATTTATACGTAGGAAAATGATGAACGTTGGTGCTGCCTTGAGGGAGAGTATCTGGCAAGCGATGGAATGCAACAGATTAACATCCGGTCTCTTCGAATGTGCCAAACTTTTGAAATGGTAAGTACGAAATATGTTGCATGTATAAATTATAGGTTCATTTCTTCAAAGAAGTGTCAGTTCTGTTATTCTTAGTGCCCCTTCTTCAATTAAATATAGTATACTTGTCTTGGTTGGACTGAATACCCGCTTGCTCGGGAAGACACTAGTTGTTCAAAATCAATATCAATCGGTTCATTTCAGAATTAATTCCCAGTTCAGTAATTCAATAAATACGATGATACTAGTTGTTACTGCAACAACCAGTGTTTTATGCTTACATTCAAAGCGGTATATTTTCCATCAGTGCACACAGCAGGAGAGTCTGTCATACAGACACTGAAACAAAAATATCCAATACAGCCCATGCAAGTCTATAATATTTGGCAAGTCTAGATTACTGCAGTATCAGAAAAATGAAGAGAGTCTCTGGGCTCTTTCTTTAATTATTTTTCATAACTATAATGTAACAACTGTTTTAGCTATAAAATATGTTCATTTCAGAGACTAATGTTAATCTAACAGTAGACCTGTTGGGTGAAAAGTTCTCGTCCCAACGTGGCTGCACTTTATTATTACACTTTAAAATCCAAAGGAACTTATTTTTGAAAGCCAATCCCTTGGAACCTTAACATTGGTACTTAACATTATTCACCACCTTTCTCAAAGTATTGCACTCTTCTGTTGATTCTATTTTTATTCCATATGTCCTTGGTTTTTGAATTGCATTTATTACTAGTGTTTAAAAATATATAATGCTAGAAATACTTTTCAGTAACCCTGACAACGTGATGCTGTGTGTCCTACCGGAAGTAAGTGGCCACCATGACGTCACCGTAGACATTCAGCACACACTCATCGAAGCTTTCTGTTGGGAGAATGAGATCAAACTGTTAAAGGTGTGGAACCAAATTGATGTCATATTTTAACTTCAATGAAATCTCGTTTTCCAGGGCTTCCGGTTAACGGTTTCACTGTTTATATTTATATATTTAAGCTCCCAATTGTAGAATACAAGTCCCCAGAAATTTCAAAGTTGTTTTGGTCAAAAGCATCAAATGCAGTGATGACTTTTAATGGCAATTTGAAGGAACCTCTTCAATTTCTTTATCTTTCTTGAATGCATGAATCTTTTTCATACATGTCATTTAGCACCCAGTCAGTATATGTAGATTGTATGATAAACTATCTGGACCTAAAACATATATATTAAAGCAACGACAATTGAAACAACCATTTGTCGAAGTTATGAGGTTATTTTTTCGAGAATTGTCAGATCAGCCTTTGCTCTTTAATCTGAAGCCATGTGTTGACTGGAAGGGTCTTTCATTTTCCCAGGTCGAGAAACACAACTCCCTTGGCCGTGTCCTTGAAGGAAGGGGAGGTAAGGAGACTGAGACTGGGAACATGGCCACCTCCAAAGTTAACAACACTGCGGTAGACTCGAGCTGCGTCCTCCTAGAGGTACGTTGATGATTTACGTTGATGATTTACGTTGGTTAACTCTTTATGAGTCGCATGTTAAACCTTTGACAAGGGATGGCGGAATTTTATGCAAATGTTTTCAAAAAGAGCCATCAACAGTTCATTATATGAAATATTCAGTCACATTATGTGCACTTAGTGTCAGTGATCATGTGTTTTGTGATTGGCACATTTTCTAAGGGAGCCACGTTTTTGCACCAAACTTTGTATCTTTAGGGGATAAATATTCATGGTTGGTGTTGCATGCACAGTAACTTGATACCAATGATTGATCGCATTCGAAGTCGACAATACACATTCTCTAAGGTATTGCAAGAGGAAACGTACCCGTGAAGATCCGGGGTAGAATAGGTCTTCAGTAACCCATGCGTGCTGTAAAAAGCGACTATGCTTGTCGTAAGAGGCGACTAACGGGATCGGGTGGTCAGGCTCTCAAACTTGGCTGATGCATGTCATCGTATCCCAATTGCGTGGATTGATGCTCATGATTTCAATCACTGGGCTGTCTGATCCAGACTCGATTATTTACAGACCGCCGCCAATAACTGGAATATTGCTGTATGTGCGGTGTTAAACAACAAACAAACAAATAAACAAACTAGAGGTAATGGTTATGCCAAGGAGAGTATTTATGGCCGTTATGCAACTACACACATACACCAACAACGCATTCTAGGCCGACAAAGAACCTATTGCAGTTGTCATTAAAACATGTATTTTTTTCATTGCAGTATCCCAAGAATTGCCCCAGTTCAAACGATGAGGACGTGATAGAATTCCACAACAGTGTCATGCTAAGCGACACGTACCCTAAACCTGTTATAGAATTCCCGGAATGATATGAGCTCCTTACAGTGATATCCACATACGGTATGTTTAATTCCCGTCTAATCTGCATCATAAATAAATTAAAACTTTGTGAAATATAATTCTAAACTTTATAGATTCGAGTAGATGCAACCTAGATATGCCCTGGGTCTTCTCGTGTATGTAATGTTTGTCTCGAGCATGTGGTAAATTTCAGGAATCGTCTACAATATTTTTTTTCTCAACTTGACCCACATATATATGTCAAAGTGTACGATGTTAAGCTGCCCCTGTGTCTTTGAAGAAACGACGTGATTGGCGTTAGCTACGTGGAAACCGTTAAACCAAACACTGCTTGAATTGAGACTTGTTTGTGTTGTGAACTTGAAAAGAATCTTGTGTACACTTGCTCGCTACGACAGTCTTGTTTGTAAGTCTCCAGCATTGACTTGCGTTAGGATTGGAAATTCTCTTTATTTGCAAACACTGCGCAAACAGATCTGCAAACGTTTTGTTGACAGTAGGCTTTGTTTGTGGAATCTGTATAAACGATGTCTCTTCAAACTTTTCAGGACCCAGATCGTTGGCATGAAGCCACATTGAAACCATCACCTCACTGAAATCAGCTACCTGCGATTTCGAGAACAGACGACAGCTGCATGATGGGAAGGCAGGATCCACCGCGCACGCGATGGACGCGAAGAAACAGACGACATTCCGGTCAAGGTCACACAGAATACCGGTTGCATGGCGTAGTCCTTTTGGATCGGATTTACTCTGATCGGATTTGTGGACAATGAGTTATGACCCATCCAATATATAACATCACCTTTTATCGCTACAAGGTTCATTTTGTAATGAGCATATCTACTTTACTGAAGGCGGTTTCCCCGGCAACTGCGTGGCCAGTGTAAGTGAATGTGTCTTAACGATCGTCATGTAATGACAAGTAGATTTAATAAACATTTTTTAAATAAACTTCTCATTTATCTTTATGTTTGTTTCTGGACCGCCTCCGTGGTCTAGTGGTAGAGCGTCCGCCCGGAGAGCGGAAGGTCCGGGATTCGATCCCCGGCCGCGTCATACCAAAATACGTTAAAAGATGGTACTTGTTGTTACCCTGTCTGGCGCTCGGCATTAAGGGGCTAAAACAAGGACTGGTCAGCTCGGAGTCAGTATACTGTGTCTGAGTAGGGTATTCATGTTAAACTGCGGCATGGTATCTCAGTGAGCTAGCACTATAAATCGGCATCAGTCCGGACTAGTACAAGCAGCCACACACACACACACACACACACACACACACACACACGTGCATGCACGTCGCTATATAAGTGCAATAATCTTGGACGCGACGTTAAACCCCATTTCACCTCACCTGATGTTTGTTTCGTCATCGAATGTTTATGATATATTATTTTTTTGTTTGTTTGTTTGTTGTTTAACGCCGCACTCAGCAATAGTCCAGCTACATGACGGCGGTCTGTAAAAAAATCGAATCTGGACCAGTCAATCCAGTATTTAACCTTGAGAATCGATCTTCTCAAATGATCATGGCATGCATGCAACCAAGTTAGCGAGACACTTTATAAGTTGTGTGCCTTCACGGGTGATTGCATTCTCTCGTCACCCCCGTATGGGGCGGTGGGGTAGCCTAGTGGTTAAAGCGTTCGCTCGTCACGCCGAAGACCCGGGTTCGATTCCCGACATGGATACAATGTGTGAAGCCCATTTCTGGTGTCCCCCGCCGTGATGTTGCTGGAATATTGCTAAAAGCGGCGTAAAACCATACTCACTCACTCACTCACTCTAAACATATGAAATGAGCTATCGACGCACAGCCTTCACACCACCTAAACACAACATCCCCATAATATCAACATGTTCAGCAGAATTTTAACACGTTAAAACATGTTTAGATTTTAATCGTATAAAATATAATCGTGTTTAAAATTTGAACAAGTTTAAACATGTTTCAATAAAACGCACATCATGTGTCAATAATTTGTATCACTGATAGTATTTCCCACACAGGAATGACAATGAAAGTACATCTGATTACTTCGATAGACACCCCCTAAAAAACAAAAAAAAACACACAAAAAAAACCCACACACCCACTTCTGTGTCAAATTGAAGGCATATAAACCTACAATGAATTCACATTTTGACCATGTACACGTTCAGCTGTTAAATACAAATCTTTAACATGTTTCGACCTACTACCCCCCAAACCAAAAAAAAAAAAAAAGAAAGAAAGAAAAGATTTCCCCCGTTGTGATGCCATACCCTTTGACAGAAACCAAGTATGCCACAACACGACCGGCATTAGGGATATAGGAAGGCACCGTTGGATGTTATCGACTATTAATATATCGTCGAAGGGAGAACACGAGTGAATAACAGCTGTCAGGTCCTTCTGGCTATCCCAGAATCCCAGAAATCCAGACCATGATTCGTGATTGTTAATTTAATCAGGGACCATGTATCGGTAAATGGTCTATACACTGAGGCACGGACATGGCGGTAGTGGTGAAATGTTACAGATATGTGGTGATCGGTAATAAAACACCAATGGCATGCATAATCCCTTAATTTCCTCCCTTACATACAAGTGAGTTACAAATTATGGCTGAAATGGTCTAATCACGCACGCACTGAAATATGCAAACACACAACCATTACCCCCCATCCCCCCACCCACCCCTTTCCCCAAAGAACCAACTCATGCTTGCCGTAAGAGGCGACTAACGGGATCGGATGGTGGTCAGGCTCGTTAATTTGGTAAATGCATGTCATCGTATCCCAATTGCATGGATCGATGCTCATGATATCAATCACTGGATTGTCTCGTCCAGACGCAATTATTTACAGACCTCCGTCATATAGCTGGAATATTGCTGAGTGCGGCGTTAAATTACGACAACCATGAATCTAAACGTTGAACACTGAAACTTTCATATACCTACAAGTGTGATGAAATCATTAAACGCCCATGACATTTAATGTCTGTTAGCTTTATATTGAACTGGGCCTGGGCGTCAGCATGCCACGTCCATCGTCTCCTACCAGTTACGCCATGTCCACTTACGCAAGAAATGACAGCCGCTGACCCTTAATGGCTTTCTAGCTGTCCACAGGTAGGTCAAGGACGTTCGGAACGGACTGACCCAAGTCCCGGGCGACCCTGGTCAATGTTTGGACACAGCTGGTCGGACAGCTGGCCTTGATGTTACAATGTTAGCAGGGCGACCACCGGTCACCTCCTTACCGTTATAGCGTCCAGTGGGTCCGGAAGACGCCATGCGGAACGTTGGAATTATACAACGTACGTCAAAGTTGGACGCGAAGGTCGACTTGAATTGTTCAATCATGTAATTAAATTTTGATTTGAGCCCGACCCAATGACGTTAGTGAGAGAGGGAGTAGTTTTACGCCATTTTAAGCAGTATGAGGACAGGGAGCATCTATAATTGACTTCATATACTTCATCCATGATTGTGGAGACTGGAATGTCCATCGCGACCACCGAAGGCTTTAACCATCCGACTACCACAACGCCCAAAAGGTCGAATAGGTCGGGGAAATATTTGGAAATTGCACTCACTGAAATACGAATATGATCTCTCAAATTAATTATAGGCTGCAATATAGTGGTTTTTCAATAATATTAAAAAAACATCCTTTTAAGGGCTGTGTGGTCCATACGTGTTCACCTGCCACCATACAAGAAGACGTTAAAGGCAGTTTCTCTGCCTGGCGCTCGGCAATAAGGGGTTAAAATAAGGACTGGTCGGCTAAAACCGGCATTAATCCGGACTAGTACAAGCAGCCACACACACACGCGCGCGCGCACGCACACACACACACACACACACACACACACACAAACACTCACACAAACACTCACCCGATCGCACGCGCTTTATAAGTGAAATAATATTAACTGCAAAGTTAAACCCCACTTCACATCACTTCTGATATCACTATTTGAAATAACATTCCACACGCCCTAATCGATTCAGCTCATTGGCCAACTCGTGATCGGACTTTCCACAAAATTATGCGTCATTTTCCCTAACCACCTCATCTTTGACCTACGTGGATGTCGTAAGCGTGTACACGTCTACAACAACAGCGTAAGGTATTATAGGCTCATACTTTCCATCTCCACCCACCAGAAATCAATGTTGTTATCGGTGCCCCATGTGCTGGTATATATACTGTCTATTTTTAGCCACCTGATTTCCCCCAACCAATCAAATAGCTCACTATGTCAACCCATTCCGGTTAATGCTATCGTTACGAGTCCTTCCGGTTAGATTGTTCGTAAATAGAAACCGGTTTCTCATGGAATGATTATCATTTGAACAGCGTTAAAAATGTCAACGTTGCGCCAGACAGCTCAAATATTTCCCCATGTTCGTGACATTGAGGGGGGAGGTTTGTGATTCAAACACGGGAGAGCTAATAATGACAACAGATTGCTAAAAGCCGTGTAACAAATGAAAACAAGCTGGAAGACCACCGCAGTAATGTTAACTCCTCAGCAAACGCATTGATTCAGTGAAAAACAATTCAACATTATCTTTAATTTACATCTAAGAAAAATATTTTACATAAGGGTGATGTTCAAACTCCAAAGATCCACACGCCCATCTAATACTCAGCTCAGACACTGTCGTGTGTCTTCGTTAAATACACCCTCGTTAATCCGGACTGAAACAAAATCTGGATTAACGAACTCATGTGCAATTAGGCTAAAATTGACACTTACTCTACTATAACAAAACCACAGGGGCTATTTTGATATACAGATTAGCAATCACGAATAGCAGTTAGATTATTTAGGGGTGGGGTCTCAAGATCAGGAAGTTGATTAACGGGATGTTGTGCATGCACCCTTTATCAATATCTAGAGGTGTGTCAGGCAGTTCAAAGTCGGCCACCCGTTATACGCGAGGTACTTCTCGGGGAAAGCATGCAGGAAGTCACACACAGACACACACGAACAGGCGGTGGTAGCTTCATGATGGCAACCTTGATTGTTAAAACGTTCATGATATGATAGCAATGTGCAGGTTGCTACAGTGTCAATAGAAGGTGTGTTAGTATAGTGTTGGGAGTTTTGGATAAAGCGTATTTAGTAACGCTAGTTCTATTTGTTGGCTTGCTATATTGTTGCTACTGATGATCTTGATTAACGCTTTGTCTGTGAAAATATATAATTCTAAAATATATATAATAACTCCATTAAAATTGAAAAGGAGCCCAGGTTAGATAGGAGATTCAGACTGTTGAAAATCTAGACTTGCTTCATTCAAGGCTATAGCATTACAGTAAGGGCTTGGCGGAAGGGCACATACTATGGTTTAGGGACTGGGAGACAGACTAGGAATGAGTAGCACGAACAGCAGGGAACTAGTATTACATTGGTGGCAGTAGAAAGAGATTGGTTTGTGGTGTTCACTAACGTCCCAGCCAGCATTGCTCCAGCTATATGGCAGCGACATGTAAATAATCGAGTCTGGGCGAGACAAACCCGTGGTTGATTAACGCCTCACGCCGGGGTACAATAACGACAGCAAGTCCGCGAGCCACACCACGTGCCTATCACCCCATCCCACATAGTGCCCTCTTAGGACAAGCAATATATGCTAGGGGCTAGACTAACATCTAGTCTCTGATATGAACTATTTTATAGAGAAAAAAAAGCAGTTGTTAAACTATCGTTTTAAAACATAATAAAAAGGAGCCCTGAGACTTTCTTCATTTTCAGATTTTCCTGATACACCAGTAATCTAGACTTGCCAAATTTTATAGTGAGTGAGTGACGGTTTAACGCCGTTTTTAACACTATTCCAGTTATATCACGGCGTGTCAGCTTAATGTGGGAGGAAAGCCCGAACTGATGCAGGTTTCAGACGTTTTGCCACTTCGGTGAAACCCACGAGCACGGGTATGGTGCTGACAAACCT